CTGATATTTTGTTTTGGCTGAGCCGAGGTGGAAGGCTTCTCTTAGGAAGGGGCTACTTGGAAGTCAGGGGACCCAGGAGCAGAGAAAGGGAGCACCAGATCCTGGCCCTTCTCTGGCTGCTAGTCTGCCCTCTCAGATCTATCATGTACCGACACAGCCATTTGCCGCTGTGATCAGGAACCTGGGACCTACATTCCCACCAGAACAGAAACCAATGGCCAGGACTTCCTCCAAGAGCATGTTTAGAAGATGCCAAGACTTTGAGGGTATGGAGACCGGCTTCTGCTCCAGCTGCCCTGTCTTGCCAGGGTGACCACAAGGCCCAGAGCCAATCTGTCCTGTGAGGGATGGAGCCAGGTGGCTGTGCACAGCCCTGGTGGTCAGTGATGGGCGCCGTGGTGGAACCGTAGCCTGGCCCTGGCTGTGCCCTTTGCCTTGGGCCTTGGCAGGGCCCTGCTAGAGTTTGATGTTGTCTGACTGAAGAAGCCTCAGGCTCTAGCATTGGGCTCACCAGTCCTGCTACAGCCCAAGAAGCAGCCCACCCGGATCCCAGAGACAGCCTGCAGCCAGAGCCCTCCTGCTGGCAGCTGCTAGACCCACGGCCTCCATCTCTACAGACTCTCAAGCAAGCCATGCCCTTTTCCTGAGGCTCACCTATACTGCGAGTGACAGCCTGTGACCTGAGCCTACTCTGGGGACAAATTAATGGACTAAGCAATAATTATTTATATATTTCTCTAACACTGCCTTATCCAGAAAACGAATCCTGATCTCCTCGTGGAAGAATAACATGCTGATGCGTATTGAGCTACTACTACTTTATCCAGATTAACACGTTCTATCCTCACAACAATCCTGTGATGCAAGTACTTTCATTATTCTCCTTTTTACAGATGAGGAAAATGATATAAGAGAAGGCAAGGGACTTTCCTTGAGTCACACAGCAAGTAAATAAGGGGCATCAGGATGAGAGCCCTGGTTTTCTGCATCAGAGTCTATATTATACATGTGCATAATAAATATTTATTGATTGAATTCATGGATCACCAGTGCGACCTTGAACGAAGCTCTTTCTGCGCCTTAGCTATTTTTTCTAACTCGGAAGATGGGAAGCAATAGTCCTCAACTCACAAGGCTGGTACAATCACCAGACAGGCAAACTGCGGGGCCAGGCTGAGCCCAGGGCCCGAGGAGCAGAGGCTGCTTGTCAGGCTGCCAATGTGATTATGTAACATGTGGGACGGGGACTGAGCCAGAGGACCTGCGGAGAGGGGGAGACTGGGGCTGGCTAGAGTGGAGATGGGGGCAGGGGGCAGAGAAAGGATTCTGCACAAAGGGACACACCTGTCACTTCAAAACCTGAGCAGGACTCACAGGGGAAGGGGAGGGATTACAGGAAGGGGAAGAGGGACAGTGAGCAGGGACCTATCGGGGAGGTCCCTCTGCCAGGCCACAGATGGCTGCATCAGGCAAGGGGAGAACAGCAAAGATGAAGCCACAGGAGTCTTGAAGTTCAAGTGAAGGAGCTGGATTTTCTCCTGTGGGCTGTGGGAGACATGAAATCGGGAGAATGGTTCAGAACTGGGCTTTGGAAATTTGCCCTCAGAGGGCTGGTCACGGCTGAGACTGACGGAGGTGACAGGTGGCAGGAAAGCAAAGACACCCACCCCTGGCAGGTTGGCGGTGCCTCCTGGCTGGAGAGGCCTGGTGGGAGGGGGCGGGGTCAGCCTCTTACTGCCCACTGCAACCCAGGGTCAGAGCCCCTCTCACATGGCCATGAGCCTAAGGCCAGGGGACCCTCACTTTCTAGCATCCCATCAAAATGATCCTGAAAGCACAGCTATCGGCCAGAACTCGCCAGCCGTTTGGGGCTCAGCAGAGGCGTGGGGAGCCCTGGTTGAAGGTATGCTGGAGGCCTGGGGAGGCAGGAGCTCACTGCCCTTGGCACCAGCCCCAGGGCCCTGTTCAGGGTTCAGAGATCAGTGACCCAAAATGACTGAGCAGTGGAGATGATTAGAGGGAAGAGGGGAGGCAGGAGGCAGGGACAGGCTGGGATGACGCTCAGCCCGTCAGATCCTTGGTCCCTGGAAGTGGGGCCTTTGGCTGGGGCCCTGTACTTCAGCATCTGTCTTGCCCCGCCTCTCTCCACAGGACAAGAACTTTGCAGAGCCAGGGATCACGCGTGCCGAAAGTCTGTGCCTGCTTCTAGATCACACGCTAGGTAGCCGGGACCCCGACGTGGGGAACAGTGGGGTTACAGTCTGGGGGAAATGGAAAAATGTGAGAAGCAGCTGCCAGGTCAAAGGCAGCTCTGGTAAGGGTGGAGTCTCCATTTTAGGAAGTTTGCATTTTGTGGAACAAAAATCTCTCCCCTTTTAGGTGGGTGCAGTGTTTCAAGCCTATAATCCCTCTACTCAGGAGCCCGAGGCAGGGGGATTGCAAGTGTGAGGCCAGACTGGACAACTTAGGGAGACCCTATCTCAAATCAAAAATAAAGAGCTGGGAGTGTCACTCCATGGTAAAGCGCCCCCGGGGTTCAATCCCCAGTACTGGGAGGAAAAAATTTCTCCCGCTAGATATTTACTGAAAACGTCTCCGCGTTTTCAGTAAATACCTAGCGAGTTTTTTTTTTTTTCCAAGGTTTTCTGAGTCAAAATCGTGTTCCTTCAAATAGAGCCCCAGGCAGAGATAACAGAGAAGGGGCGCGGGATGACTCCGATTTATCCGGGTTACATTGCAGGAGAAGACGCCTATCCAGACCCCGAGAGGCCGAGGCCGAGCCTCAGGCTGCCTCTGCCTCCCTTCATCGGGAAAGAGCCCCAGAGAATTCTTCATCTCCCCTTCTCTCTCTCTCTTTCTCTTTTTCTCTCTCTGAAAATAGAGTCCAGGGTCAGTTCAGATAAGTCATTTGCTATCAAGGCAATAAATTCCTGGACCGTGGCCATCCATTCATTCAACAGAGATAAATAATTGCCTCTGGGGAGACTCTGTGAGCAAGACAGACACAGCCCCTGCATCACAGGCCCAGAGAAGGGCCATTCAAAAAAAAAAAAACAAAACAAAACACTGGTGGATATTAAGATTAAAAATAGGAGCTCCCATTTATTATGGGCTTAGCGTCGCTCTCCCATATTAACTCCTGGTTCCTCGTGCAACCTCATTCACAGAGCTCTGGCATTGGGAAGTCAGGGTGGGCACCCATAGTCCTAGCTGCTCAGGAGGCTGAAGCAGTAGGATCCCTTGAGCTCAGGAGCTGGGGACCCGCCCAGGCCACACAGACCCTTTCTCAAAACAAGCAAACAAAAAGGTGATAGAAAAGATAACCAAGACACAGAGAGGTTCTGTCACTCGCTCAAAACCACACAGCTAGTGTGTGGCTCAGTGGAGCTTTAGACTCCAGGTAAGTTCTCCCACCTCTCCAACAGGGAACCACTACACTAAGATGGACTCCCTGGGGAAGGGGACTCCAAGTGGCTTTCTGGAGAAGGTGACATGTGAACCAAGTTTTAAGACACTCAGTTGAGTGAGGGGGCCTGGGAAAGGTGGGAGAGTCAGGCAGGGACAGATGGTACACTCCTGAGCACCACACCAAGCCCTGGCACCGGCATGAGGGGCTGGCGCTCCAGGCAAGGGTCACCTACAGTAACTGCCACCCCTCCACAGCCTTGGAGTCAGTCTCCCAGGGGAGACCGGAATCGCCTGCCGTTAGTGCTTCACACTTGTGGACGCCATGCTGCTGCCCTTGAGGTCTCCCGGGTGGGCAGGGATGGCAGGCAGGAACAAATGAAAGGGACAGGGGTAGAAAATGCCTTGAGTTGTCCTTGAAGCTGGTGGCAAGGCAGCTGAAGGACGGGCAGGGCTACCACATGCTGGGAGGGGGACAGGGCATCACAGCTGGGGAAGTGGTGCCAGGCACGTCGGCCAGACCCCGGAAGAGTCCAGAGAGAGGCAGCCAGCCTGAGCAGCAGGGGCCAGGCTGGGAGCAGCCTCCGATGCCAGGACTTTGATCTTGAGTGATGGGGAGCTAGCGAAGGTTACCAAGCAGGGGAGGCCAGGACCGGAGTGCCTCCAGCTGCTGCCTTTCCATTGGCCCTTCCCTGGCCGTGCTTTCTGCTCGCCCGGCCCCTCCTCTCCAGGGAGGGCAGAGTGTGGGGCTCGCCTTGGCCTGCCAGGGATCCCAGCCAAGAGCCCTCAGCAGCTCAGAAGGGGGCCGTGTGCGGGCCCGCCAGGAGCCCTGGAAGAGGAATGCAGCCTAATTAATTCTCTGAAGCTCCCAGGGCCTCGCCTTGTGTGAGCAGCTGCCAGGGCAGGCCTGCCAGGGCGCCACCGGGCCAGGCTGTCGATCACTGGGTGCTGCAGGCAGCCAGGCGGACTGCAGGCCACAGGTTGGGGAACAGGGACTAGGGGGCCAGCCCCTGGTATCCAGGATCACACAGGTCCTCCGTCCCCTTTCCGGCCAATAAAGAGCCATGGTAGCAGTGATAGCCCACAGCCCTTGAGACCCCGCGGCACACTTGGTACCCATGAGTGCGCCTTCCTCACTGCTCATCGGATCCTTACAAGGGCAGTGAGATGAGTACTGTTACTATCCCCATTTTGCAGAGGGGAAAAATGAGGGTCAGAATCATGCAATCAGCAAGCAAAAGCAGGGAAGCTGGGATTGGACCCAGGCAGTCTGGGTGCCCAGAGTATTCCTCATAACCACCATCCTGGGAAGGCTCAGCAATGGAAATCAGGTCCATAGAGGTGGGATACCTTTCCAAGGACATACTAAAAGGGGATCAGGAGACAGTAAAAGGAGTAAAGACTGCTAGGGATAAAGGCCACATTCCTGGTCTTGGCTTAAATTGCCTCCTCCAGAGGATTCTGTCCCTCTCCTGGCCCTGCAGGTCATTCAAAGAGATGTGTAGCTCACCACTTAAGGACAGGTAGGCTGCAGGAAGCGATTCTGTCCATATTAGCTTTCTATTACTGTAACAAAATATCTGAGAATAATCAACTTAAAGAAGAAAGGTTTATTTTGACTCATAGTTTCAGAGGTTTCCGACAAGTTAGTTGACGCCGTTGTTCTTGGGCTTGTGGCTAGGCAGCACATCATAGGGGAGCACATGGCAGAATACGTTGCTCACCTCCTGGAGGCCAAGAAGCAAAAAAAGAGGAAAGAGGAGGGTCTGGGGCCCCACAATCCCCTTTGAGGGCAGACCCCAAGTGAGATAACGTCCTTGCACTAGGCCCCACATCCTAAAGGTTCCACCACCTTCTAAGAGTGCTAAGGGGCTGGGGAACAAGGTCCTCTGGGGGAGGTTTATCTAAACCATAGCACTCTCAGGGTGTCCACCCATATGGACCCAATTCTGCCACCTGGGCCTCTTCCAGAACAGTGCTGGCCCTGTGTGCTGGCCCTGTGTGCTGAGGCTCATGCTGGTTGCACATGCTCAGAGCATCTGCCTAACCTATTACCACCCCACCCCACCCCCTGCCTTATGGGTGGGACAGCCAACAGCAGCTCAGTAAGGTGTGGCCTGGAGAAAAACCTCGCAACTAGGAGGTGACAAAACCAGGAATGGCGGTCACACTGGCCTGACAGCAGAACTCTGCCCTTACCAGACGGCGGCCCAGAAAGGGGGCAGCACGGCCAGGTCAGGTCCCCTGAGGAGCCTCACTTTCCTCATCTGCCATACAAGGATGAGAGGCCTGACCTTACAGAGTTGTTCTGGAGTTCATGAACAGACGTCCCGAAAAGTCTCCTACGTGAGACACTGCCCTGAGTCCTTCATTAAATTAAAAAAAAAAAATTGTTTTCCAAACAATATTTTATTCATGGCTACATAAATATGTCCTTATAAAGCTTCCCATAATGCTTTCATTATCCCCTAGGTGCATATTCAGACTTATCCCATTTCCCACCAAAGGGGATCAGAAATTGCCACCCCAAAATATGCCCCTTTTGTATCAGGATTGTTCTGGGCTAACAACAGCAGTTGAGAAGCAGCACATGCAGAGCAAGCTCTCCACCCCCGCCCCGCCTACCTGCCTAAATGTAGGACATAAATTTCCCTCTGTGAAGGTACTTCCCCTCCTGTCTCCTGAGCCAGGAAGAGAGCAACCATTAGCACCCAGACAGAAGCCAGCACCCAGACAGCTCCGCATAAGCAAATCTCACAGAAATAAACTTACCCTCTACTAATTCCCCCATACATTTACCTTCCCACACACTGTCACCCCTAGAAGCCTGAGACCCCTTTTTCCTTTCTCTTGTCACTTCTCCATACATTTATTCTCCTTTGTTAAAATGATATATGAGCCTAACTGTCATCTTCGGGTCTTTTCTATGAAGGCCTTCCTGCCTGTAAAAATTAAAATAGTAATAACATCAAATAAAATTCGTGTGCTTCTTCTCCCATTAATTGGCTTTTGTCAGTTTAATTTGCAGGCCCAGGTGACAGAACTAAGAAGGCAGAGGAAAGGATTTTTTTTTCCTTCCTACTCCAACAAGAAATTAACACTGCAAAAGAATGAACTAGTTACTTAATTAAAATAGCACTGTGTGGTTGTATATAAATTTTTATATTCATTCTGGATTGATTTTTTTGCTATGTATTTGTATTGAAATATAATTCACACACTAAAATTCACTTTTTTTTAAGCGCATAATTGGGAGGTTTTCAGTATATTTGCAGTTATACAATCATCAGCACTGTAATTCCGGAACATTCTCTTTTTTCTTTCTTTCGGCCTAGGCAACTTAGTGACACCCTATTTCAAAGCCAAAAAAAAATAAAAATGGATGGAGATGGAGCTCAGTGGTAGCATGTTCCTGGGTTCCGTCCCCAGTACCACAGAACAAAACAACAAGTGAAGGGAAAGATCCATCTCACACTTCTGTAATCCGTTCTTCTCCCACAACAGATCCAACTATTGGTCTTTGTTTTAATAGCTCCAGGGTGGTCCACAGCCTGGACCAAAGGTTGTTTATGTAGCCATCCCCCCATGATGCTCTTTGGTTGGCCCCCATTTAATGTTCCTATAAACGCTCTGCAGTAAACACCATAGTTACACATCTTTGTCCACAGAGGACAGATTGTTAGAAACCACTGGCTCAAAGGACAAGCGCGTTTTAAATATTCTCCTGAAAATGGGGTTCCTATTGGTTCCTCCCACTGCCCCGGGGCCTGAGTATCTATTTCCTGGAATCCCTTCCAGTACTTGGTTGTATTGATCTCTCATTTGCTGGTCTATCAGGAAAGCACTTCTCAACATGGCTTCTGACACGTAAAAGAGATAAGGCCGCTTGTGGTTTCAGGTTCTCTGGAGGCTGAGGCAGGAGGATCACCTGAGCTCAGGAGTTTGAGGCCAGCCTGGGCAACACAGTGAGGCCTTGTTTAAAGGAGAGAGAAACACAGAAAGAGAGAGAGAGAAACCTGTTGGGCCTCTGGTGGAAGAGGGTGGGGACTTGGAAACCACCCATGTTCTGCTTCCTCCCCACTCGGTACACAGGGCCCCTGTAGTGTCCTCTAGCACTGGTGTCTGGGATGCCCTTGGACGGAGGTCCGGCCCACCCAGGTTGGCCTCACCCTCAGCCTCTCAGTCCTGCCCCTAGGCCTGGCCTTGGGGAGCTTGGGCAGGGAGGAAGGACTATCCCATCTTCCTTAGCTGACCCCACCTCTCCCTTTTTAGTGGGGACCTTAGGGGAATGGCATGCTCATCTGAAAGCATGTGTGGTGGGGGACTTCAGCCCCCTGGACCTGTGGGTGTCCTGGTTGCCTCTCAGCATGTGGCCCAAATGGGCTTTGTGCAGAAGGCAGGATCCTAGTCTCGCCTCTGCTGAGTCCTTGCTGTGGGGACCCGGACAGAGTGCCATCCCTTCTGGGCCGCCAGTCTGCAGCATCCCTCCCAGGGAATAGGTGCAGAACAGACCCCTTCGGAGGCTCCTCACAAGCCACCCGGGGTGGGAGAAGGGTGTCTCCTGGGAGGTGGAAGATGGGGTTAGGGGAGGAACAGGGAGGGCAACCCTGCCCCTCAGGGCCAGGAACCTGAGGCTCCTGCCCAATGCTTTGACTCAGTGTGTGAGTGTGGGACACTGGAGTTCCACCAGCTTAACAGGAGTCGGTGCATGTGCACGGGTCATTCAATTGTGAGCACGTGTGCCCAGGAGGGCACACCTGAGTGTAAAATGTGTTCCTGTGCACACAAAGGGGACCATTCTGCATGTCTACTCCACAAGCATTCAGGCTATGTCACACTGGGGGCCCACTCACGATCCACATGTGTGTGTCCCTGCAGTATTGTATGCAGATGTTGACGTCCATGTGTGTGACCGTGAGTGCCTCCAGTGCGTGTACCTTAGCCTCGTCGCCACTGTGTAGAGTGTGTGCATGCACACCTGCCCATTTAAGGATGCCCAGACTCCTTTGGGCTGTGCGGGAAAATCCATGTTCGGGTGTATGTAAGTGACATGAGCACACGTTACGGTGTGTGGGTGTGCAGGAACATGCACATGAAGTGAATGTGAGTGTGCACGGGGTGTGTGCACATGCAGGGGATCTAGAGGTGCCAGGTGAGGTGCTGGCGATGTACGGGACTGCTATGGTCTGTAGGTGTGAATACACGTGAGTGTGCCTTCCATAGGTGAGGCCTGGGACACCCCAGAGGTGCCACCTCGGGCTCTGTGAGACGTGACATTTCCTCCAGCCCACCTGGCTTGGCCCTCTCTCCACCGCTTACGCTGAGAGATGGTGTCACTGGATAAGCTCTGAACATCTTGTTTTATTTACATGTGGATTATTATTTTAGTAATTAACCAGTTATTATAAACCTTATTTATTTTAAAAACAAACATGCAGATGCAAAATTCAGATGGAATATGAAGGGAAAGCCGAGGAGCAGGGGGTTCCTGGAGCGGCTTGCAGGGTCTGGGGTGATAGCCCTGTAGGGGCCCAGAGCGGTCAGGAAGGGAGTTGGGGAGCAGGGCCCAGAGCCCTGCTTCCGCTTCCGGCTGCCTGCCATGGAATCCCATTCCCTTTCCCTGTGGCACAGGTGGGCGGTCAGACAAAGCCCGACTTGGAAACCTCACGGAGGTGGCCCCCGCTTCGATGGCAACGTGGGCAGGGCAAAGTTCCTGCTCTCAGCCGCTCACGCCTCGTCAGTAAACGTCTGGAGCTTCGATTCCTAGGAAGCTCCAAATGCAAGCCCTGGTACCTGCCCACATTTTTCTGCTCCTCCTGTCCCTGGAATAATTCCTAAGCATCTCTCCCTCCGCCTGCACTGCCTCCTGGCCCTTTAAAAATTCCTATCACCCATCAAAGCCCACATGCCTGGCCACAAGTTTGTCTGTGTTCCCAAGTGGACTTTGTACTCCTTGGAACAAGAACAGGCTCCCCACAGTCCACTGGGCCTGGCCTGCCTTGTATCAGTATCAAGTATTAAAAATTGGGGATAAAATGAGTAGGGAAGGGAGGCGAAGGGCTTTGTAAACAACAGTGTTTGATACAAGCAGCAGGTTGTTGGGTGCCTCCCGACCAGGTGAGTCAGCTTGATCCTTGCCCTGCCCGGAGAAGGGAAGAGAAAGCACCATTTATCAATCTCCACCTGGATCATTTAAGTCTTATCGTTCTTTTCAAGGGTGGGGGGCATCACTGGGGACTGAACCCCGGTGCTTTGCCATGGAGTTACAACCTCAGCCTGTATTATATTTTATTTTGAGACAGGGCCTTGCTAAGTTGCCCAGGCTGGCCTCAAACTTTCGATCCTCCTGCCTCAGCCTCCGAAGTCGCTGGGATTATAAGCATGTGCCACCCTTCCAGCTAAACCTTATCACTTTTGATCCTTACCACACAACTATAGGCAAGCAGTACTTTTATCCCATTTTAGAGAAAGTGATCGTCCTCAAGAAGAGTCCTCTACAAAGCTGAGACTCTAGCACCAGCCAGCCTCTAGGGCTATCTCTAGGCCCTGGCTCTATTTCTCCTTTGAGGAGCACTTAGTAGGTATCTGAGACTCAACCCCAGGGGCTCTGGAATTGCCAGAGTTCAGAGTTCATGCTCTCAGGAGCAGCCCCAGGTGATGGCTAGGTTAGTCTGAGTTGGTGGACAAAGGCCCCAGCTTCCTCACTCCTTGGGAGGGACAACCTCCCATGGGCCTTGGCCTACACTGTATCCCGGATGGGCACGGCCCCATGGTCCACCTCCTGTCCTTTAGATCACCTGTATTGGTTCCTTTACCTGTCTGGCTTCCCACATCCTTGTGGTTTTCTGGAACCACCTCACAAACACACACACCGCCCTAGTTCTAGTCTCTTTCTAGAGGCCCCCACCCAAGGTGGAAGGGCTGCAGCTATGAGGGGCTTTGTGTGCCCTGGAACCCCGGGAAACTGTTCTCCAAAGAGGCCTTTGTCTCAGAGGGAATGGGCCTTGGTGAGGATCAGAAGAGGCTGGGCGGAGGTGTGGGGGGTGTGGGGGTGTGGGGGTGGGGGGCAACCCTGAGGAGCCCTGGCAGGAGGGACACAGTTCAGCTGTAGCCCCAGGCTGTGCACAGCATCAGGTGGGCAGCATGTGCTAAAGGAGAGGGTGAGGGTGTGAACACACAGTCTCTGGGAGGAGGCCACACCCATGCCTCCCTCCCTTCTCCAGAAGTGCTTCTCCGTCAACCTCTGCCCCCGCAGGTCCAGGGCGGACACTGCCTGAAAAATCCCCAGCACTCAGCTGGCCTGGGTCCTTCCAGGAGGGCAGAGAACTGCCTGTGGAAGGCCCCGGACGTGAGTCAAGCAACCCAGTCCTTCTCTAGGTCTCACAGGGGGCCCGGGTGGGGTTGAGGAAGGGAATGGAGCCCTTGAGGGCCTGTGTGTTCCAGTCCTGTCAGGCAGCCACTGGCACACACTGCCTCAGACACGGATATCTTGTCCCTTGTCCCTTGTCCCTTCACACTTGCAGAAGAGGGTATTCCTTTACTCGGGGGAAGTTTTGGTGGTGGAAACTCAAGTACTGACAAAGATGTCGCCTGACTTTCTTCCCTCCACTCCTCAAACCCCACCACGTGAGCCCCAAAGCAGGCAGCCTGCGGGCAGAGCCAAGTGGGGAGAGCCGGCCAACTTGGGTTCAGAAGAAGCCCCTTAAGGACTCTGGGCCTCAGCTTCCTTACCTGTGAGATGGGTGGAAAGTGCCACCTGGCTCCAGGCAAGCCTCTGTCCTCTCCTTTAGTCCTTAATGAGGCAGAAAAGCAACTCTGTTTTCCGTTGACAGAGGAGGCAACCGAGGCTCAGAGAGGACATAAGGAAGCCAGGCCTTGGTCAGGTGGTAGAATATTGCCTGGCCAGCCCCTGCCAGGGAACCCTGGACCCTCAGCCCAGCCACTGCCTGGCCTGGGTCCAGGAGCCTGCACATTCCAGCCTCTCCCTGCCTGGCCTGGCCCTGACCTCGGGGTTTACCCACTGGCCCTTTTTCTCAGCTGGGGCTGGGCCAGCAGTATCAGCCCTGCTCTGGATACCTTTGGCCTCAGGCATGCAGGGACCTGAGCCAGGAGGTTAAAGGGACAAAGCACAATCTGACCTACTCCCTGGAGAAGCTCTCAGAGACTCACAACACCTAGGATAAGCAGGTACGCCTGGCCACGGGGGACCTGCTGGCTTCAGCCTGGAGGGTAATCACACACCTCCTTGGCTGGCCAAAGAGGATCGAGAGCAGAAAGGGCAAGGCTGAGTGACAGGGAGAAGGAGAAAAGGGAAACTGAGGCAAATGATGGATCTGTATAGGTTCATCTGGGTGTATGGCCAAAAGAAATGCCTGGATATGTTCATTTAAAAAAATATGTACTAGAATCTTCATAGTAGCACCATAGTCAAACTGGAAACTAGCCAAGAGCCCAGCAATTGTGGAATGACTATAAATTGAACAATGACTGCACAAAACCATACAGATGATCTGACAAACTGAAAGCACAGAACCAAATAGTATATACCATTGTGTTCCATTTATCTAGTTTTAATAGATACAAACTAATTTGTAGTGTTAAAAGTCAGAATAATGCTTGCTTTGGGGGAGGGGTGTGAGCAATGACTAAAAGGCAGCAGGAGGGGTGTTCCAGGGTCATGGTCATCTTTAGTTGCTTGCTGTACATAAAGCTGCATGATGATTTCAGTTTGGGAAAATCCATCGAGCTGATGATTTGTCCACTTTTGTGTGCATATAAGACTTTCTTTTTTATAAATTTTTTATAACTTTATTTTGTTTGTTTTATTTGTATGTGGTGCTGAGGATCGAACCCAGCACCTCACTGAACCATAACCCCAGCCCCCCCGCATATTAGGCTTCCAAACTATATAAATCAAATCTTGCAGCATGAACTCTTTCCTGTCTGGCTTGTTTATCACAACATTGTGTTTTTGAGATTCATGCAAATTCATTCATTTATTGCTGTACAGTATTCCATTGTGTGAATATAGCACAATTTATTTGTCTGTTCTGTTGACTCGAGTTGGACTGTTTCCAGTTTGGAGCTATTATTAGAAATAGTACTGCTTTGAGCCAGGTGCAGTGGCTCATGCCTATAATCCCAACGACTCAGGAGGCTGAGGGAGGAGGGTTGCAAGTTCAAGGCAGTCTTAGTAATTTAGTGAGATCCTATTGCAAAATTTTTAAAGCACTGAGAGCCAGACACAGTGGACCATGTCCACCTGTAATCCCAGTGGTTCCAGAGGCTGAGGCAGGAGTATCCCAAGTTTGAGGTCAGCCTCAGCAACTTAAAGAGGACCTAAGCAATTGAGGAAGACTCTGTCTCAAAAAGTAAAAAGATCTAGGGATGTAGTTCAGGTATTAAGCACCCTTGGATTCAATCCCCAGTACAGAGCAAGAGGAGGAGGAGAAGGAGGAGGAAGAAGAGGAGGAGGAGGAGGAGGAGGAGGGGGAGGAGGAGGAGGGGGAGGAGGAGGAGGAGGAGGAGAGAGAGAGAGAGAGGGAGAAGAAATAGGGCTGCTTTAAACAATTCTCATGTGCCTTTTGGGTGACATGCACAGGCGTTCTAGCTGAGGGTAGTCTAGGAGTGACGCTGCTGAGCCACAGGGTTTACATGGCTACAGCTTAAAGTCACTGAAAAATAGTTTCCAAAGTGTTCTGCCAATTTATACCTCCACCAGTTATATATGAAGCTCCAGAGTCTCCCCAGCACCTGGTTTGGTCAAATATCCTTCCGGCCATTCCAGTGGGCATGAAGTGGTGCTGTGCTGTGCTTTGAGGTCGCATTTCCCTGGTGCCTAATAAAGCTGAGCTCCTGTCCTCCCTGGGGTTTACTAGCAGCAGACCTGAGACATAGTCAAGAATGAGTGGTTTGCTTGGCAAGTACATTAGTCTGCCCAGGCTTCCAGAACAAAACAGCACAGACTGCGGCTTAAACAAGAGAGACATTTCCTTGCAGTCCTGGAGGCTGGAAATGCAAGATCAAGGTTAGGCAGGGTTCCATTTCTGGGGAGGCCTCTTCCTAGTTTGTGCACAGCCACTTCCTCTCTGTGTCTTCCTGTGGCCTCTTCTATATGTGTGTGTGTGTGTGTGTGTACATGCATGCGCACGCACATGTGCACGTTGAGAGAGATCTCTACTGTCTCTTCCTCTTCTTCCAACGACTCTCTTTGATGACTTCAGTTACCCTTAATTACCTCTGCAAAGGTAATTACCTCCAAACACAATCAGGTTAGGACTTCAACCTAAGAATCTAGGAGGACACAAATCAGTCCATAGCAGCAGTGATCTGGAAAACCCAGAGAGGAGTGAGGAAGTGAGACAGGGAAAAGGAGGCGGCCAGCCTGTTAGCAAGCACATGGACATCTTGGGCATCTGGAGCATAATCCCAGTGGGGGGATCATAAATCACACCCCAAGGGAGCAAGGGAGCTGAGTGTTTTATAGGGCAACTCCTGTCAGCCATGAGTGGAGGGCCTTTGAGGGCGTGTGTGTACATCACTGGGGTTTGTGTGAACCCACTGGCCACTGAGGCAGAGCAGCCTTGCTGGCGCCATGGACACTGTGGGCACAGTGCTAAGTGCTGGCCATTGGAAGGAGCCACTGCAGCAGCGTGTCTTCATGGCTACTCACCAGAGGCTTCTGGCTGTCATGAAGTGGCTACCCAAGGGGAGCGGGATTTACTGATTGCCGGGCAGGCAAGGGCATTCTAGAAGGGACTGAGGCCTTGAGGGATTCCCCAAGCACCTTGTCTAGCCTGGGCTACAGGGGGAAGGGGAGGGATTTGAGACTGAGGTGGGGCCAGTAGACCCCACACAAAGGTCTGATGGGAAGATGCTTCTTGGAGACTCTGGAGAGAGCACCTCATGTATGAGGTTAGCCACCCAGAAACCCAAGCTGGGCTCTGTCCATAAAGTTATCCCAGGACACTGCCTTTCAGGGTGCCCCAGGTCCCCCAACTGTCCCCTATCCGGCTCCTGGCACAGAAAGCCCTACCAGAAAGCAAGGACCAAGAGGCCAGGCCTCCCAGAGGGCAGGAGATGCTCTCCCACAGAGGCCAGGCTATATCACCTGGTGGAGGTGGAGGAGGGGAAGGGCTGACCTCAAGGTTGGACCTGAATAAAAGGCCTCAAGTTCAGGGAAGGGCCACTGGTGTGTGATCTCAGAGGGCGCCTCTCCCCTGAGGCCATCTTGCAGGTTAGAATGGTGTATCTAACGGCCATAGCCATGGAGCCCAACCATGTGGGCTAGGGGTCGGGGAAAGCTGGGCCCGGGAGCTGGGCCTGGATGCACTCCCCACTCCCTCCACCCTCTCTGTTTTGGCCTGCGGGAGATTGGGAAGTGGGAACTTAAGGCAGGTCTGAGCAGGAGCTGACTGCTCTGCATAGCTATCTGTTTGGAGCCCAGCCACATTCACCTCTGTAGTCAAATAATAAGCACCTTCTCTCCAGACAGAAGAGTGACCCCGACAGGACCTGGTGGGTCAGGCACAGTGGACACCTGTGTCAGTCCAGCTTTTTCTTTCTTTCTCTTTTAATATTTTTAGTTGTAGATAGACACAATACCTTTATTTTATTTTTAATTTTTTTAAAAAATTTTTAGTTGTAGTTGGATGCAATACCTTTATTTTATTTATTTATTTTTATGTGGTGCTGGAGATCCAACCCAGCGCCTAGGACATGCTAAGTGAGCACTCTACCACTGAGCCACAGCCCAAGTCCCTTATTTATTTATTTTTATGTGGTACAGAGGATGGAACCCAGTGTCTCACACTGGGATCCACCACTGAGCCCCAGCCCCAGCCCTGTCCAGCCTTTTCTTGTCAGGCTACATCTCCTCTATTAATCCTGCTCTGCCCACATAACCAGGCAGGAGGACCTCAAAGAACATGCCAATCCAGGCAGCTGGAGCACCCACCTCCCAGGCCCAGTCACTACCTCAGGGATAAACATATGACCCAAGTCAGGACAATGGGAGTCTCCCCTGAGGCCTTTGCTAGAGCTCTCTGGAAACTCTACTGAGATTGTGAGCTAGAAGGATAAGATTGTAGCACCTGTTGGTTATCTTGCATCAAACAAAAATAGAAAAATATCTGCCCAGGGGAAAAAACAAAGTTAAGAAGATGCAGACATAGCTAAGAGATAGAGAGAGGGGTAGTCTTCATGGTATCATTTAAACACCCAGATGTAGCCATACCTGAAGTTCCTTAGGCTTCCCATTCACAAGAACAAATGCAAAGCCTATTCTGTGTATGTTGGTCAGTTTCTGTCACTTGCAATCTGAAGGATTTGATTAAAACAGTAGGTGAGAACACTGCCAAGCCCTTCCTGCACCTTCACATCCCAGAGATCACAGAGATTGCAGGGAGTTCCTTGTTAAAGGCCACTGTCATTGAACTCCTGTGATGAAGCAAAGATCACATCCTGGTGCCCTTCTTGGACCAGTGGCAGTTGTGGAATGCAAGGCGGAGCTGGCACTGTCAGCTGTTTATGTTCAGGAGTTCAAAATGTTACCCACGCTATAAGGGCTGAGTCTTGGCAGGCTGCCCTCCACCTCATTCCCAGAATGTTCTAGAAGGTGGGGGGAGGGGATGGGATTCATTATCTGACCAATGATTCTGAGGTCTTTAATCACTTTATCACTTGTCAAAATGTAGGATCAGAGCGAAGTAGATTTAGGAGAAAGAGGAAGAAATATTGCATTTTTTTTGCATCCCCAACATCAATAGGCCTTATTCAATGTTACTTTGATTATATTCAACAAACAACCAGAATGTCCACTAATAAGGATCTGGTTAAACAAATGATAGGGCATGGAGTATTTTAAAAGTGAGGTAGCACAGAAAGAAGTTGCCATAGAAATATGGGATGGCTAATTTTGTTTGTCAACTTGACTGGATTGAGAGATGTCTCAAAAATCGGTCAAGCATAGCTCAGCGGGCGCGTGTGAGGGTGTTTCCAGAGAAG